CCAGACAATTTACTGTCACTGTTAGTGTAATACTAATCGGAACCAGGATGGACATTTAAGGAAGATGCTGCTGTCAACCTTTTTGGAGACTATTACAAATTCGGCGTCCCTCTTTCTTCAATTTAAGGTTTGAAAAATTCAACGGTTCCCATGTGACACCCTTAATATGAGGGAAGGTGTAACACGAGAGTAGAATAGTTAGTGTTGAAGTACAGGGACCCCAAATTTCAACGGAAGTCCACATTGCAAGCTTAAAAGACAGCACCACGAATGGGATGCTCCTTAGAGGCGCAAAAAAGGCCGTTTGATTAATTCGTCGTTAATAAAGCCAAACAATATTTGTGTTGTGCTTGTGTGTTGAAGTGGACAGTACTTTTACAGTCTCTTCGAAATAGTTCAGTCCCTCTATTGGTCAACCTACGGTCTCATAGATCTCACAAATTTCAACCTGGAATATCCACATTCGTTCACAGAATTCATTGGTGAGTTAGTCGCTGAGTACCACTTTTCGCATTTCCTTCTCTCAACCCTTCTCTTCAACTTGCATTTGATGTTGTAGGAAAACTTATATTTGGGACCTACTCCTGTATCGCGTTCATTGTCCTCCTTAATATGCTCATCGCAATGATGAACAATTCGTATCAACAAATTTGGGTACATCTCTTCACCTTTTCCTTCTTTCTTGATTCAATGTTTTAAAAACGACATTCTCTTGCAATTTAAATGAATCAAAATTTGACATAACACCTTTAGGCTAGCGTCATCTGTTTGGAAATTATAAACCTTCCACCCATTTTGCTCCGTACAGGAGCAAGCAGATACAGAATGGAAGTTTGCCCGCTCAAAGCTGTGGATCAGCTACTTTGCCGAGGGCTCAGCTCTCGCAGTGCCCTTCAATCTCCTTCCAGGTCGAAACACCTTTAAATGGCTCTTCAAGTGTTGCCGTCTTCCATGCAAACGGGAGACAGATGAGAAATCCGACTTGGAATGGGACTCAATTAAGGTAGGTGATTGTGCTTGAGTTTTTTTAACAAAATATTACAGAGCACTTTGGGCACGTAATTACCATGTACTTAATTCAGCATGCGTTAATGTTGACGAGTACATTGTGGCGGTGAATAAATTACTGGGAAGCCGAAATGACCTTTAGCCTAATATTTCTCTACCAAAAGCTCCGAACTACTATTTGTGTTAATCAAAGCAAAATTATTGTCATTCCTAAGTTAGCCCCTCTTTTTGGCTATCAATCTCACATTCACCAGTTCTACCAAAATCCGTCGAGCATTGCGAATTGGACTTTTGATTTAGGCATATTGCAATGTCGAAGAGTTGACTAGAAGGTGGCAGGCAATGCACTTTAGCCGTTAAGAAAGGTCCGCATTTATCGGCATTGAACGGAGTCCTGACTGACTGACTGACAATAAACATTCACGCCATGAGGTCTCTCACTTTAAAACTGGGGCACAGCAACAAACATTTTACTCCCTTCTGATGACTTGCGAGCTGAGGTTTTCAGCTTTTTTCGAGAATTTTGACAAAATGTAATGACTAGTTAAGGGCAGAAGGATACACTTGCCATCCACCATTGCGTGTAGCACCGCCACGATAGCATCTCTTACTATTTCTATTTTTCTATTTTAATTACTCTCTACTCTAGTCTATGCTGTTTACTGCTCTTGATAATAGTGATACAACGTTTTATTACGATTAATAGCCTCTTCAACGGGAATAAAAATTTTGCTATTATTCTTCCGCAAATGGTTGCTGTGGATACTGAGTAGTATGTTATCCTTTTCCCATCAACGGGGCCTAAACGTTCACAGCCACACCCAAAAGGTCTCTCCTTTTTTGAATCCCGCTCTTATCAAAGGCAGTCACGGGTGTTGACATTGAAAAGAGAAAATGATGCTCCCAATGCGGTGGGTGAAAAAAGGAGGGCTTTGTTGTAGTGAAGGTAAAAGTAGGATAAGGAAGGTTGTTTGCAATGAACAGTAAAGTAATAACATAAATTTGATGCATAAAGTTGTCGAATGGAACATGTTACTTTGAGCCAGCTGCCTGCAAATGCACGTCCATCGACCCACCTGCGTAGATATGTTGTGACTTCCAAAATGCTAGAGAAAAGTATGCGTTCCTCCAAAAGAATTTTTTTCAACATTAATTGCTTCAACTTTCAATAATTTCACTTCTTTTTTTTTTATCTCTGACAGTTTGAAGTAGGCAAATAATGCAGTGGATTGGAGGCTTTTGACAGCTGCTTGGCGGGCTTGACACTCCGGACGTCAAATGATAATTTTGACTTGAGAAAGTAGTTCAAAACAAAGTACAAACTCACTGTCATGGTTGAGGGAATTAAGGTCCTGTTAAGAAAAATTAATTTGCTAAGTCTATTCTTTGCGTATTTGATTTGCGAATATTTCTACAAGTAAAACCAAAATTCTGTCTGCATAGTTGAATGCATGCACGAAATTTTGGCAGTTCAGAGTTAATTTTTTAAGTTGCTTTCCTTCCCCACGTTACGCCACAACTATTGTTTGATAGTGTATCCAGTTCTAAGAAAATGGCTCAAGCACTTTTATGTGGCACCGCAAGTCTTTCCTGTAGACGAAGGAAGTTCCAATGCTGGAGTGAAATATGTACAATTGAGGCATGGAGGTGGGAGATCGCCGGCTAAGCCTGGAAAACGAAGTGTAGAAGCTCTTGGTGTCTGCAAACTTCAAACACTTAAGCAGACAATTCGAAGGTTACTTATACTATCTCTCCTTTTGAGTGTCATCCTTGACGCTCTCTTGGAAAAATTCCCTTTTCAGCAATCACACCGAGGTGAATGGCGTCAAGGGACAAAACAGCTCCAGTCGCAAACATTGTCTACAGACGAGGAGGAGCTCGAGCACAACACTGCTGATTTCAATTGAATCAGCGCTTCGTTCTGTATATCAATCGCAGTAAAAGAAGGAGAAAAAACGGGCTACTCACGTCATATTTTACGGGGACACAGGCTTAAGAGCAGTGTGATTTTGTAAAAGGGTTGGGCTAACACCGTTCTCGCTTCAGGTAAATCGTGCGTCCGGAGTTAGTCCCGTTAGTAGAGTCGGTTTTATGACTTTTTGCATAAAGTGTCATCACTGACCTCCCAACAAACTTTTAAGACACTTCAGGGGTAGCAACCCTGGAGACCACAGGACTGGGGGTTATAAAGTTTTCCCCACAACATGCATTTTTTTCCCCTTACTTTGTGTCCAGCTGAAACGTGATAGAAAACGAGTGGTCTGTCTTTGGGATTAAGCGCACCTTTTGTTGACACCAATATTGCTTTCCGAGGCTTCTGCAAAGACAAAATGAAGCATCTCAACTCGCAATAATATGTTCAACTGATGTGCAAGAGGGCTTAGAGGCCAAGCGCCAAAGCGGAGTTAAGCAAGTTAACACCTCTTCATTTCCTATCAAGTGTATCGGACGAAAATCTCAAATTGTAACAAGTTGGCGAGATGTGCTGCGCAATCTTCAAAATTGTCACTTTTGATAGTTCATCCCTTTTACTGGTTAATGACCATACTTCCGCACATCAATAAAGTAAATGCTCAGCCAAATGGATGAGAGAAGTAAGAGATGGAGCCGTGGCAAGTAAAGCAGCAGAACTGCATTATTTACTCATTACCGCTATAGCAATGTAAAGAAGAGGCTTTAATCAATGGTAATCAGTCTGGTGACAAGGGATGGATGGACTAATGTTATTCGCAAAAAAGAGAACCAAAATCAAAAGCAAATATACCAAGAACTTTAAATGTTGAGAACAAAGCACAGTCGTTGTCTTCAACACGAGACTGGTCTAATTGCAAGTTGAGGCATCAGACGAGCAGTTGGAAGGAAAGTGAATGAAAAAAAGGTGCACGCAATTTTTAGTGAATTGTAGATTCCACAAAGGTTTAATGGACCGATGCAGTAGTAGGAATGAATTTCCGACTCAGCGAATTAATGATATGATGCTCTCGTGACAGGTCACAACGAAGGTCATGCAAACCATACTGAGAGATGAAGGTAATGCTCAAGTCAAAAGGTACTTGTAAATAACAGTCGTAAGTGGCAGATTTATTCACTTTCTGCTTGACGTTAGCAGTGCATGTGTTGATAAGATAAAGTAGCTTGTCTTAAGTCAAAATGTAAATCACAAAACCTGTGGATGGGTAATTGAATAGGCGCGCGGCTCCGAGGATAGAGTTGCTTTGTCGTTCAGCTCTTAGGCATTCAAATGGAGTTGACAGTTCTGAGGTAATCCATGCTTCGTTCATTGCCAATGCCTTAGGTGTTTATGTTTCTCAGGTCCTTGCACAGCAATCATTTGGTGCTGTTGTCATTTTAACCATTGCATTAAAGGCATAAACGTCGCATAAAGAATGCATCCTTTTGTGTAAATGGCAAACGCAACCGGATGTGAATAGACGAGGTATTTCAGCGTACATTTTTAAATCTCCGTTGGCTGTATTTTTGACTAATCTTTTCAACCTCTTCAACTCAATCATCTATGCCTTACTTAAAGGCTCAATGTGTATTTATGGTCATTTGGTAAATTTTTTTTCTGTTGTGTTTAGGAGAAGGTGCAAAAGTTGAACAAGAAGGAGCAGCGTCACGCGGCTGTAATGCATGAGCTGGTGAATCGTTACCTTATGCATCGACAGATGCATGTGGACAATCAAGGGGTTACAGAAGACGATCTCAACGAGATCAAAGGCGACATCAGCGCTTTCCGTTACGAACTATTGGATATTCTGCGCGACAATGGAATGAAGGTCAATTCCGATGACCACTTTAGAAAAGGTAGATATTTTACGGGTAGTTGTTAGGAGCTGTAGGTAATAACCACTTAGGTAGCAGACCTTACTGCTAAGGTTGTGTAATTAAATAGCTCATGCTGAATAACAGCACTTTATTTATGGGCTAAAAGCAAAATAAATAAAGCCGAGCTAATTTTTATTTTGGCATAGTGGTAGTGTGAAATCGTCTTCCCCATTGCATGCATTATGTATGCGTCGCTTCAAATAAGGGTTGTTTTGTGTTTTGGATCTAAAACCAAAAAATCTGAAAACCACAAAGCTTAACACTAAAATTTTTGATTTGGCGTGATCTTTTTTTAAATTCAAATTGATAATCCCGGAGCGCTGTAGTATCACGCAGCTTTGTTGGAGGTGCTTAGCCTACTGACAAAGAATTTCAGTAGACAGAAAAAATCATTTGTATAAAATAAGGAAAACTAGGATGAATGTTATTTAATCGGCCAAAATCTGTCTTAGGCATTATGGCCTAAGTGTTTTTGACAAACTGGATCAGAATCCTAATCTGGAACTATTAGTGGCTGACAATACAGTACAAGTAACGAACGCACTTATTACATTAAAATATTCATTTTTACCATACAAAAAGTAGTAACGATCACTTTCATTTAGGTATGCAATCAAATTAGGTACACATGCTACGTTATCATCCCTAAGTCTCGCTCTTCCTAGGCGGTCGGCTGCGACGAAGAGCGAGTCGTAGAGTGAAAAACCCCTCATGGAAAGTTACTAATGTAAATTTGGACGAATTAGAAACGGCGCAGACAGCGGAAAATCTCCAGAATGTCAACCGCTGCAATCTACCTAACCCGAACCCTGAAAACCCAACTCCACCAGCGAAACTGGAAGAAATTAAGAAGTCATCATCACTCACAGAGCAACCTTCCACCGGTCCTTCTTACTCGAACCCTGCATTTGTTCCCGAAATAGAAGTAAGCACAGCAGAAGACACGGCTCCCCTTCACACTGAGGACACTTTGGAGACGTCAAATGAGGATTTACTAACACAAGAGAGCACCAAGCCACAGAAGCATGATGAGTGTGCAGCTAAGGAGGGCAGTTCGGCTTCAGCATTTGTTAATAGGGAGATCTCTGAATTCACCGGTGCAGAGGAACCACGCAGAACAGATTTTGTCTAGTACAGAGTCAACCATTAGGATTGATGAGAAACTCCTCGGCTTCAATAAGGAATGCTATTTTTCCCATTTTCTTCCTCAATACAAAGGGTAAATGCATCCAAACTGTGCACTTTTACACAAAGTATTTACTCAACTACAAGGTTTTCTTTTGATTACCGCTAGAAATCTTGCAGACTTAGTGGCTTGAAGGTAATGCTGTTAAGCGCTGCACAAAAGAACCTTCCATTTCCAGACCAAATGACATCAATCTCTATACTTCTAATGCACCGCATAATCAGAATGTGCCTTTAACACGACTTAAAGCCTGTCATCTAGCAATCACAATGCTAAGTTTCCTTCCTACACCATGCTGGATTCTACTTCCACACTTGATCACTAGCCATAACAATGTCATCCTTTATTGTGGGAAACATCAATGTAATCAATTAATCTCACAAATCAGGTAAAATTTGTCCATTGTGTAAAATTACTTTGATAGATGATGAACGAACGGGAGGAAAGAAGGAAGATCGTCAGTTTGTCTAATTGGAGCGAGCACAAATAAATGCATTTACTAGGTTTAGTGAACCGAAGAGTCCTCCACGAAGCAGGTTTGAGGCAGCGGTAAAGGCGGTTACGAGAGCGGACAGTTCAGTCTTCAAGTCTTTGGCTACAGTTAAAGACTCAGCGTCTACAGATTCGCTCAGTTTTTGAAGTAGAGAGCGGATTTTAGGGAAGTAACTGTCGTAATGAGTAGAGGTGTAGGAACTGTCAACAAGAAGGTGCCTTGGCATAGCGGCATTCTCATAGGTAATAAATTGCTTGGAAAGGCGGCTGAGTATGTCATTGTATACCGGATAACAGCTAAGTAACAGAAAAGTACAGTTTAGACAACAATATCATTGATGGAACCTCTTACAAACAGCAGTTCCCACACACTGCAGCCTACGACGACATTTTTATCATGCTTACCTCGATTCTCTGTTTCCAAGTTTGTCATATCGCTTTTCAATGGCCTTTGAGGCATTCAAAAGGTCATCTATCCTCTCACTAACGTAATCTAAAAGTAAGAACCGAAACAGTAGATTATCAGGCCGGAAAAAAGATAATATTTTGCTTGCAATGCACACCGTCCCGACCAAAAACCACGTCTGGTGAGACAAAAAAGCAATTAAAGCTAATCTGCGATTATCAGAAGTGTCCATTTATCAGTATCCTGGTAATCAACCTTCAGCCTACCGAGATTAATGCCATGGCGCACTAAAATGTTTGATAAGGTTTCGTTGGCGCTTGAAACAATGCCGCTCCATGACTTCTTCAGCATAAGAGCCTTGGGGATCGGATAGATGGGCAAACGTCGACTGCTCGAGAATTTGAGCAAGAGATGGAAGTGGTAGCGAATAAGGAGGCGGTGAAGTGGAAGTACACTTTTATTGGTGCTGCAAGGTGGATCAGTGAAGTTCACTGCCATATCTACCGAGTCGTAGGCGGTGTGATAGGAAGGAGCTTC